ACAGTTTTAGTTGCCGGAGTGAAGCGCAGGATGAACATTGCCGGCTGCTGCTTAAGCCTTCTTTGCGAGACATTCGACACATACACCCGATGACATTTCGTTGGGGTTCAGCTCTTATACCCACCATTTCTGTAAATAAATTTCATTTATAACTCAGGTCAGTTATAGCAAGTTTTATTAGTAGGAATAGTTGTTTTTATTAAGCTTTAAATAATATATATTTAGTTACATGCTATTGTCATTTAAATAGTTATAAACTAACAACACATATACGTACATACGAATATATCGATGATTTATATTATGAAATGACGCTGGTTAGTTAACCCACCCTGTTACAAAAGCCCAAATGCCTCCAGGTTTTTAGGAGCGACTTCGCACCTAAAAAATATATTAACTATGTGGATTGTCTTATCGAATTGCTTGATAAAACAGCAAATGCTCGCATCGAAGCGTTTTTTTTTTTAAGATCAAAATAAATTGCTCATACTTGCTTCATCATATCCTAACAAAAAACAAATACTGAAAATAGGATGGCTCAGATAAATTTAATATCCAATATTAACCTTTTTCCTGTAGCTACTCCGACCTAAATGGATAATGTCCATCAAATTGTCTCTTGATGTTGAAGGGTGGAATTTGTATAATTAAATTTTTATGCAAATTGTGGTTTCAAGCCCTAGGCTACCGAATTAGCTTCAGAGCGATGTAGCCTCTACTGGTAAACAAATAATATGTAAATTTATTTTGACGCCTTAAAAATATGCTAAACAGTAGAAAAAGTAATGAAAATGGGAGTATTGAGGAGAAACCTAGTAAAACAAGAAATATTGTGGCTTTTTAATTGCCAAAACATGACGAAAATGTATAGGTACGAGTATAATATGATATTCAAAATTTAAAAAGTTCGGCAGAAAACTGTTTTTTTTATTCAAAAATATTTTTGACGAAATAACACATGACACAGTATTAAGAAATTGTATTTTTCTGATAAAGTATGTTTTTTCCACTAAACGAAAAATTATTAAGCGTAGGGCTCCACAATTTTTTAACCTAAATACGTAATCAAGATTACGTATAGAATAATTCTAGAATAATTAATAATTATTATTATCTTATTCATACTTATTGTATTTTTATTATTCATTCATCACATTTATTATTCATTAATTATAATAATAAATGCATAATATAGAATAATAATATTTTTTAAATTAAAGAATAGGGGGTTGTGGCTGTCGAGGAATCCGGTCTTGACCGGAGCCGATCTAAGTCTTCTTCAAATAAGAGAGTCTAAACTAGCATGATCATGACTACCAAACGACTTTTAGAAAGGAACATTAAATGCCTGAGTGGTTTATTTAATGATGAAACTAAGAGTGAAATCATGCTCTGGCATGCAGTCTCATCGAAAGTGCGGTAAAGTAAGGTGCACGCCACGACACCGTCTAGGGTAAATAAACAATTTGAAATTTAAATTACATTTTATGATTTTTTTTATAAGTAGAATGGTTTTATGAATTTTAGGAATTGCCCTACATTAAACTTACTGACAAACGACCGTGTAAAGTGACAGATCTACTATTTTGGGAACAAATATTATTTATTAGACCATTGAAAATATATTTATTAGGTGACTAATAGAGTCATACCCTTTAAATAATACGTTTACATGAAAACTTAAATTACTCTAGAAATCTAATGTTTAAGAGGCAAACGACCAGACGAGTAACCTGATGGTTGGTAACTATCGACACTATTGAACACGCGTTACTGGCCTTAAAGGGCCCTTAGAATTAGGGGGCGGGAGTTTTGGTCTTCGCTCACTTCACCTACTTGGTGAAATATAAGGAAAAAATAGCTTATCACCGACTCCTCTGAGGCCGTGGACAGTATACATGGAACACAATCACAGCGAACTGTGAATGAACGCTGATTTATCATTCGATACTTACTCACGCGTTGTTGCCACACCAGACGGGTCGGTATAGGGTTTGTATCAAGCTTTCCTTCTCTTTACAGTGCTGTTATCCTGCGTAGTTTGCTCCCTTAGTAGGCTCTTACGACACCCACGAGATGACTACGGGTGGTGACACTCCGTATTCTTAATCCGTCACCGTTGGGTATACTGTACTGTAAATTTCACATCACATCCCACATCAACAGCCTTTAATAGACCACTGCTGGACATAGGCCTCTCCTAAGAAAGGAGGTTTACTATAAATTAACTATTACAGAATAGAATAAATAAGAGAAGTGTATAAAAATTGTTTCCGATGCTATAAATTTTTTGTTTGCCGATAGATCCGATGCTAAAATATTTGCAACGTAATACTTAGTACAAACTAACATTTTGTGAATGATGAGTAAATTATTACTATTAGCGAGAACTATTATTATATTAAATAGTGTTCTATAAATTTTAGAAATATGTTTTTCTGATATCTAATAGATTTATAATTAAACTGCACACTAACGTACACAAATTCGAATTGAAATCCTGAGATCTGTTACGTTAGAATTGTTTAAGTTCAAAAAACTTAGATATGTCCTAGAATTCAACACATGTGAAAAGAAGATTTTAGTCTTTTTATTATTTCGATACAAATATTTTAAAATATTTCAAATTAACAAAATTCGAATCTAAATCAGTGTTGTGTCACACGAAATGAAATATATATTATGAATTAAACAGCCTAATTTAAGTTTAGAAAATGAACACAAATAACATAATATTGAAAACTTGCTTGATATAATAATTTAGAACACTTTGAACGCTTACAATAATAGGCATAATATGTGTTATCGTTTGGTGCTAAATTCAGCATCAGTTCATATCGTGCCTGAATAACGAGATCTAAGGGTTCAAATAAGTTGATATATCGCACCTTTATTCATAAACTGAATTAACTTAGAATTTCAATATTGTGGGTAATCGCATTTAAAGTTTGACATTCATGTACGTGCGAGTTCGTCAAAAAGAGAACGACGATCTCTTATCTCTGCCATTTTCATGGTATCGAGTCGGCTGTTGGATTGTTCGTGTTCTGATGAAGTTGATTTGGTATTTGTTGAAAACTCGAAAAACGTAAATTTTGAATTAATTCAGTTTATTATTAAAGGTGCGATATACAGAGTGAGTCATAGTTATTTAAGAGTACAATTATATAACTGGAATAGTGCCTCTTAAATACTAAACGTAGGCATTTCAAACTGATTTTCTCAATACCTATCGTGAGCGCAGCGCTAAAATTCCCGTAAACATAAATACTTGTTTTATTAATGTGAAAGTGAGTTTGGTTGTTTGTTAATCTTAAATTTGAAAGCTACAATATCAGCGAGTAATATAGACTATTTTTTACCGCAAAAGCTAGTAATTATATTAAGCATGCTGGAATGCATTCTCATTTTTACAAGGTACAAGGTTTTACTTCTGAGAAGTAAAATTCATTTTACATAAATGACTCTTCGGTTTACTGTACGTCTCCAAGCCCGTGCACTTTTTGATTAAGCAACGACCGGGCGCCAATTGTTTAATTTGAAAAAAAAACGCTCAAATTCTGTGCAAAAAAAGTAAGTAACAGCAAGAACACTAAGTAATCAATTAATAACAATAGTCAGTAACCGTAGGTAAGTAATCAGAAGATATAATACTCATTAGCGATAAGGTCACGTCGCTAGTAAAATACTCAATTATTGCAATTTTGCCAATTTCAGTAGGATGTACATTTGACAAAACATCCATAGGCAGTAGGCAGTTTTATACTTATTGCTTTTACAAAAACTATATTCTATGTAAATCAAAATATATATATTGTAATTTAACAAATAGCTTCATTTTATAATTCTAGTACTAAATAAAAAACGCCATTTCAGTTTTCCTTATCTAGAATTAAGCTACTTTGATTCTTAAAAATATAAAAGGAAATCAAGTGGTCTGTCGTGAGAATATATGTATCTGAATATTATAAAAGTGACAAAGTTGTAGCAATTATGTTACAGGGCACTAATTCTTTAGACCTTCAGACCTTTATTTTTACCCTATTGCACAGTACTAAAATGGTTAAGGGCTGGTAATATCTCAGCTCACTTCAAACAGGGTTATCGTTAAATCGATCGACCTTCGAAATGCCACGCTGAGAGTCACGTTAAAATTCATTCGAAGTAAATTGGGCCAGTTTAATCTTGTCACGATGTAATCACAAGAATAATTAACTCTTGACCGTGCGATCATCGAGATATTTTTGGTCAGAATTTCGTGGTACCATCCTCAGTTACAATACGACATCAGGTTTACATATAAAACGAATATATTATTTAGTATTAATAAATAAAATATTGGACATTACTTTTTTTAAAGAAACTCGTTCATCAAAAGAAAACTCATTCAACCCCAAGAAGTTGTACGATTTTTTTTTTTTGATAAAAACGTAATTTCCTTAGGGTAAAACCGGGATAGATACCGCACTTTTTGGATGCCCGCTCTGAATGGCCTCTTATTTTTAAAATATGAATTTACTATGAATAATCTCTATAAATATAGCTAGTTTTTCTCTGTAAATATGGCTTGTTTTTATTGACCTAACAGTTACAGATATTACAGAAATTAACTTTTCGCAGACCAATTTATTTGAGGATAGATGCATACCTGTATGAATAGATGCGTACCACTATGAAAATGCTAAGAAGGATAGATGCCTGCAGTGTGGGATAGATATCGAATAAAATACGGAAAAACATAGTTTTAAAATGTTTTATTAATAATCTTCAGAAGATAATTCTAATATGATACGCATAACCAAACTCAAACTTAAACATTGGTCTAACAAAAATATTAATATTTGAGTTTTAACGTGAACAATCACACCTATTTTTACATTAAGAAATAAAAAAAAAACAGAAATATAACACATGGTTTTAAAGATCTATATTTTTTTATTATATTTAATTTAGTTTGAGCTGAAAAGTGCTTTAAGTTTTCCTTATCCTGAACAATAGTTTTAAAATAGTGTATAGGTTTCATGTAGCCACTTCTCGCACATTACACACTGAATCCAGTCGGATTTTGATTTTATATTTTTATAGTTCTCCAAGCATTCTATGCAATTTTCTTTGTCTGTATCTTTCGGGTCTTGATGTTCATTTCTCTTAGTTTTCTTTACAGGCAAACCTTTAGTTTTCTTTTCTTTAGTTTGAAAGTCTTTATGGGGTGGATTTTGCTTGATCTTCGCTGTTTGCATTGTAAATAATTTGTCTTCCATCTAATCTCTTGACGTTTCGTAGTCTTCTTGACGTTTCCTTAATAAGCTAAATGCTTCAAAACATTCTACAGGTGAAGCTTCAAAACGATAAAGTTGGGATATATCTGCTAAACAAACATTAGGTAGTTTATTTTTATGATGCAACCTTATATTATAGAACATAAACCCTATATAATTCCGTCAAAATAATGAAAGAAATACAATGTATATGTAACCGAAAGTTTTAAAATCAATTAGATTCTAAAAACAGTAAGTTTCCTGTAATGTATTTAGGTGACTATGTATTTAACAAAACGCGACCAGCTGTGATCTCATTAATTGCTACCACTAAGTTAAGTACACAAAATATTATTTAGTAACTAACTACACATCATTAATTTAAAAATGTGAATATTATTGTGATCAACATATACTTTTTAGTAGCGGTTTGTTTCAATGTACATCAAGACCGTTTTACCGGTTATTTTCATAAGCAATAAATGTTTTGACAATTTATATCCTTTCTCCTAAACATTTGTATAAGTACGCACCTATAACGAAGTACTAAAATGAAAAAAGTTCACGCACGACTACAACTATCCTTACCTAAAAGCCGATTCTACCGGTAGCAAATTAACTATTGTAGAATGCTATCACCATTTCAATAAAGTATATGGCAGTAAGCTATGTTGAACCAACAAAAACAAACAAAATTTGTATTACAGAAACCAAACCTTAGATATAATTAAATGAATTTAATTATAGTCCATATCACTATATTATTAAATATAGTGATATGGACTAAAATAACATGGACATTAATTTTAGTCCTTGGCAGATTGTACTGCTTCCCTCGTAAAAAGCTGCTGCTTAAAAAAAGTATGAGATCAATCCCAAATGGTAGATTGCTGAGAAATTTTAAAATATTGCCGCTCCTTTTACTTATCTTTACCAGTAAAGAGTTCTAATTTAACACAGAACATCTATAAATACTAAGTTTAGGAAGGAATCACCACCCAAGGGTGTCCATTTCATGTATGTTTGCAAAGTTCCCCGCGACACAGGATAGTCCTAGTTTAAAAAAAATGAAATCTCTTATCTGATATCTCTTAAAATGTTATTAAGATTTTAATGACATCAAAAATTTTAAGTCATCATCACATCATCACCAGCCGCCACTAACAGTTCACTTCAGGACATAGGCCTTTCCTTAGAAAGGTGGTTTTGGCCTACTATATAGGTGTTGGGTTTATTTTAAGTTTTCTTTCTCTTTGCATTGCAGTTGCCTGTGTAGTGTGATTCCTTAATCGACTCTTACGATACTCACGGGATGAATAGGGGTGGTAACACCCCGTATTCATAATCCGTCACCACACGAACAATCCTGCACCACAAGAAATTTTAAAAGATAAATAAGTTTAATAGTCACACTAACTCATAACTATTTTTATGTTAAATTTATTCCTGAGCGTTCTGATTCGATTGTCGTCGTTTAGATTATTTTACTGGCTAGTGAATTTGGAACACATACACAGGTTAGTATGGCCGACAGAAAGGGCATCGTGTATTGTTTTTAATTTACTTTGAATGTATTCTTCTTCTTTATTCTTACTTGCTGTGTGTAGCATATATTATTTCTTTCACATAAAAACGTAATACAATAACATAATAAAATACAAAAAACAGTTTTCACTTTTAGTATTTATTAAGAATCTATTTCTAAATCTTCTTTATGTGGATGTACACTACGAATTAGTTCGTCTTCCATAACAAGCGTAGTAATATTATTCTTTGTAATAAGACCGACCAAGCTACCACTAGGTGGGCGTGCTATACCCTTTGACCATGTCAACAATAATTCGGCAACGAAACTAAGAGGCGTCCATGAACTGAAATTAGCTTCAGGCATCAATTGTCTATTCGCCTGAGTATCCAATACCTTAGGAAGTATTGCTACTACTAGTGAATCCTGTGCTAAACCAAAATTTTTAGCACCAATAGACTTAGTGAGTTGGTGAACGGCCGCTTTAGCCATTCCATATCCAATCATACCTGGTGTACCTCTCAGTGCAGCTTGAGCCCCTGTAAACGTAAGCACGCCGCCTGGCGCGAGATATTTAGCGGCAACTGAGGCTGCAATAGAAGATGGCCAGACGAACTGCTTCCAAGTAAGGACTGCGTGTCTAGACAGGCTTTTAACTTCATTTCCAGGAGTCCAACCACCAGCAACGCAAGCGACGGTATTTATTTTTTTTATATCCAAAATGCCGCTTAACTCATGCATCACGTGTTCTTCTTGTTCCAGCCACGACAAATCTTTGGGTATAACGACATTTGCGTCCGCATGCTCGTTTTTGAAATAATCAATGCTCCCCACCCACCAGTTAGCTGCTTTGAAATGGCTGACGCATGTAGACCCAAGATTCCCACGACCGCCGTATACAATAATCCTCTTAACAGTCATATCTAAATTGTGTAGGTATTTAATTTATCTTTATTATTTTTATTAATTCATACATACACTTTATAAAAAAATCTGTTATACACTGAATTTTCAAAGTAATATAACATAACATGTCATTTATATTTATCGTAATTGACAGAAGTACTACTACCATGTAGGTTTTCTTAATTGTCGGTCAGATGTAAATAAAATCTTTTTAATCAGCAAAAGATGTTTAAAAAACAGCTTTCAGGGTGAAGAAGTTACCTGTTGTTAAAAAAAAAGAGAGACCTGTTACAGAGTATTCTTTATCCTAGGAGTATTCGTATTATATATTTTTTTAATTTAGGTAGAATACATTTGGTTTGGCTCAATTCTAATTTGACGAAAACGTCAAACCTAAAAGGGAAAAATTTAGGAATGAAAGAATCAACTACAGTTTATTACAAGGCGTATTAATTTGGTGATGCTTTTTTAAATGTTAATTATCTAATTTAAAATCGAATGTAGCAGCTTATTCCCTGAGATGACATTTCTACTAAAGTAGATGTTGATGTAGAATTACAAAGTTTCATTAATATACTGTTCGTTATTTATTTGTCAGATTTTTTATTACAATTTACCTACTAACTTCCCTCTGTGAATGAATTCCTAAATATATAAGCTGTTAACGATTCATATAATTCACTTTGGATGGAAGTGTTTTGGCAAGTTCCACTTTTGCCTTTGTCTTTTTTAAGGTTGTTTATTGGAATCGATTCTTTTCATTCAATTAATCCTCCTCAATGTCAATTCCTCACCGACCGTAATAATAATAGAAAGAAAGTACATTTACTTAAATTATAATAAGAAAGGGAGGCGGCCCTTGTGATGTCAGGTCGCCCCCTCTCCAGATCGACGCCGTACCTGACCAGGCCCTATTCCGGGGGCTTCCATCTGCCTATCATTAATATAGGCACATTTTTGGTGCGATCAGGCCGCCATACTATTCCCTACTGCAGTAATTAAGTAATATGCCACCAGAGGTCGGGATTGGCCGTCTCCCGATCCCGTTCAGCAGTCTCTTCCCTACCTATCCAAGCTTCGAGGATACGCAGAAAATTTACCGACAGCGGTATTTTTTTATTTATTGGTGCGCATTCCGCGACTGATCTAGCCGCGCGTGCCATTGTGCCAGTGCCTGTCGGTGACCATCCCACTGCATTTCAAGCCAGTCCTAGACCTCCCCGCTCTCACCGAAACGCACGACGCATCGAATCGCGTACGTATTCACTTACGATCCTTATCACCGCTACTTGTTGCACTTGATTGAGCTTAGTCCGGCAGTGGAAGAAGGCCGATAGGTGCTTGACCCATATCGGGCCATGGATCGTATTACAGCACAGCAGAGACGGCGAACTTCCTTCCGTGGACCCCTTAGACAACAACCTCTGTCGGAAGCCCGCCGTCCCCCGAAATCCGCTCGAAATGCTCCTCGAAGCTCAGCGACTGTCCAGGCCGAGGCACTTCATGTGTCGGCTGACCTCGACCTCCGTTGACCCCAAATGAGCGAGCTAATGGGAACGGCACCTCCGCATTTCCTATGTAACCACAGGTGCTACCCGTAGACCCAGACCGCTGATCTTTTAGACACAAGCTACGCTACCCAGTACTACGCCGCCGACACTCACTCCAGGGGGAAGACTGGTCCTTAGGACTGCATTATACGCGAAATGCCACAGGAGGAGTTCTAAGATCGACCACTGGGAAACCCTCTATGTGACCTTCCTTCGACATTCTGTGGCGTCCCTACGAAGGAAGGAATTCTCTTAAAAGGGGGACTCTCATTCATATAATTAACTTCTGATAAGTTTATTATCGTCTGACGCATAAAACCCCGTGAAGTGTCCAATTCTTTTTTACACCTAATATTATAGAAAACTGTTAATAATAATAGATACCAATAACATATATCCACAATATAACCTTAATTCGTTAAAACATTTTTTAATGAAAGCGTATTCGTGGCAGACAAAGGTGACTGTTTTACCCTTACTCGTGATATTGTTAGCCGTTCAAAATTTCATCATAAAGATGTTTTATATGTAGCTCTTAGAAATACTATAACATTAAATTTATAATTTAAAAAAAAATTACAACTTTTTGTTGGAAAATGTTAGAAAAACAAAGAGACTGTTTCTATTTCTCTATTGTTTATATCCTATCGTATAGTTTCGTGCATTGAATCTAAGTGCTTCTTCTTGAAACACCAGTTTTAAGTACAACGAATACAGTTAAACTAATAGTCATTGAATTTAGCTTTCAAATGGATCCCAACATCACAAAATATCACGTAACATACGCAAAAAAAAATTACAAACCTCCTATTTCTCTCATTCCCAGGTCGTTTAAAAGGGTAGCACAGATCAAAGTATAAAAATAAATATGTTTTTCAAAAGTTAGGTATATACAGTATTTCTCTTCATTGACATCGTTAGCCCTTGCCATTATTTTAATGATTATGTTCCCGCCACCAAATAAACTTGTTATGGAATACTAACTTGAGTTTTGCAAGTTGTATAACCACAATTTAATTGCTGTTTGAACAATATTCATAATTATTCCATCATTGTAAACTATTTCGATTAGTTTTACACATTAAGGGTTACTGTTACTGTTGAGGGTACCCCGAACATTGTTTTGTGAATAAAATAAAATATATTTATTGTGTATAGTTTGAAAATATAATTTATGTAATATAATGTGGATATACATACTTGTCATTAAAATTAAGAGATATTTAAAGACAAAATTTTAAAATGATTTTCAACAACTTGTTTCTTGCTTTGAACCAAGACAAAAACAACGGCAAATGACCGTACAGTAAAAAAATGACAATCGTAGCGTCAAAAGGCTAGCTGTGAAATGCCAAATGAAATCATTTTTTTAAGTTTAAATTCGGAAGTAGTTTTGAAGAAAAAAGACATTTTTTTACGTCGCTGTAAAAAGTAGCCTATGTCCTTTCTCAAGAAGAACAGTATAATTAGTAATTATATTAGTAGCAAAATTAATTATAATTGATTGAGCGGATTAGCCGTGCAAAACGTAACAGACAGACAGAATTACTTTCGGGTCTACAATGTTAGTAGGGATTTCTGTAAATTTGTCGCAAACAAAACCATAAGCAATCAGTCTTAAATAACATTCAAAACTTGTTGTCTTTTATTTGTTATGCTTAAACTACGTAGTTCGTAGTAGTAGTCATAGTTCGTTAAGTAGCATTTTGGTATTATAATGCCATTCGTAAAGCACTAAAACAGCACAAAAGCAAACGCAGGGAAATATTCCACAGTAGGTCTAAGGTAATATCGTTACGAAAAATTTGTTCTCTGCCAACTTTTCCTACCTACAAAGTTACGTGTCTACAAAATACTAGCCTTGAATTTGAAACAAAGCAAATAAATTCGAAAGAAACATATCTTTTGACCACCTTGAGATATAAAAAAAATTGTATAAAAATATTAGTGCCCGTTAAATTGCCTAATTATTGCCATTATTATTTATTTATTTTAAATTGTGACCCAAAAACTCAACCTTGTGTCTTTAGTTGTGACAACTCTAGTTGTGTCACTCAACCGATGGTCTGATTAGATATCAACATTGTCAGGGCTCTCAACAACTGCTGCGCTAAGAAAAGCCGAAGACCAGAAAGTGTAGAAACATCTGGTGGTAAAAGTCACCAATACAGTTCAGAACGGATACGACCAGTAATGAAGAAGGCGACCAAGAAGAACTAGAAAGGGCAAAGACATCCACATTCAACTTGCAAGAGCCCTTAAACCTTAACCCAACCCTGTCGCAAAATCTGCGTCTACCTATAAATGACCATGTCAGTCAAAATCAGGTCTCTAGTATAAAAAAAGTTTCATGTGAGCTTTTGAGAGCCCTTACATCTACTAAATTTGGCTTACTCGAATTACCAAAATTGTATTCATATGCAAATGTTTTATTTTGTAATTTCATATATTCCGCTACAGAAGCTCCAGAAATTGTGTGGGATTAGTATGGATAAAGATCAAAGGCTTTGGTGTAAATTCTGTAATTATTGCTGCAATACCTTCTTTGTGTGAGTATATGTCTCATCTTTGTGTGATATTATGCCTCAATAATGTGTGTGAACAATTTGGAATTGATATTTTTAATGTTAGTGTAACGGGAGCGAGGAGGTGTTTAAGCCCTTAATTCTTCAAGGGTGAAGGTGACGGGTGCGAATAGTTATTGTTATGGGTCCTGTCTGTTTTGTGTGTATATTATTACGTTCTGTGTAATTTGTAAGTGATCTGTGCCTGTAACTTACATAATACCTCTTGATAATATTCTGTATTGTCTTGTGCACTGTAACTTATCTCTGATTTATATAAGTGAGGATTTGTAATTAGCTATCTGTTTTCTTGACAGCTTATATTCTTATCATCATAGCTGTAAATCCTCCATAGTTTGTAATAAATAAATATCTAAGTAATAATATATGGGTAATAGTACACCCTAAACTCTTTCAGAAATATTAACTCCATGAATTCAAAAAGGAGCAAAAAGCTCGTGCTCTCTTTTAAAGTGCTTCTTTTTTATATAGGTTAGGTGTATCTTTTATGACGACCCACCCGATAACTTGCAAGGTACGTACAATAAAAATATATTATTAAAAACAGCAAAATTGATTTTTTGAACCATCTAGGAGAAACAATGTGGATATAAAAATATCGAAAAAAAAAATGAAAAAAAATAAAAGCATCTAAAAATTACAATCTTCTCTACATATACATATATCGTCATCAGAATTTACAAAACATCATTCATTTGAGCTGAGCACTTGTATTTCTTCGGCTTTTCTTAGTTAAGTACAATAACTTTTGTATTTTTTAGATTTAATTGGTAGAGCTAATACATTATTATACTAACTATACTTCTCCAAATATATTTTATCATTAACAATAAATAAATCGAAAGGTTGGATACCCCTGTAATATACCATATTCATCTAT